GGTGTACTATGTTGTTGGTGATGAAGTTACGGATACAGGTGGAACAAGGTAATTGTTCATCGCCTGAGGTCTCTCCTCTCTCCCATGGCGGTATGGTGGAAACATTATCCCTCCCCGTTGGTAATTGTCTAGTTGACACATTAATTCCAACATCCTCCGTTAGTAATACAATTTGTTAACTTGTCTCTGCTACCTGAAGAAGATTGCTCTCATCTTGTCTGTGTTATCTGTGCATATGGAGTCCTAATCTTATTCCATTTTCGTCAGTTTATTGATTAGTTGATGCTTAATAGGAATGGATAAGTGAAAAAATACTGATTACTGATAGGTGCGTGTTAAGAATATTCTAAATTCTTTGCGTTTACCATGAATCGAATAATAGAACAAATTTAACGTCAACAGGTTCGTGTAAAATGTAAATGAAGAAGTTCTTCTTGGTTAACGAAGGAGTTAATTTATCTTGGCTCTAATGTTTCGCATGTCCCCTCTCGAGAAGGATAATAATTTAATCGTATTGCAGACATTGTCCAGTTTTTTATTTCAAATGCACAAATACACAATCTGTTTTCACCGGGATTTCGGTTGTATCTTTTCAGTATTTCTTGGTGAAGTAACCATAAGAATTATCCTACCTAATCTTTTTTCATTAATTTAAGATTTTATTTGTTGCAAAACATAATTCCGTTTTAAATATTAGTGATATGAAAATATTTTTATAACATACTCGAGATTTTCAGAGCATTTTTATAAATGCTCTGCCTTTCAAAAAGGCATGACTTTTTTTTCTTTTACAAATTTATTCGTTCATTTCCATATTGTGTTGGATCCGCTATGATTTCTTATGGTCTTTACCACCCACAGATATTGTTACAAATATGTTGCACATCGAGGAAAGTTAAAATAATAAACAAATAGTACAGTTTTAGGAGAAAACTTGGGAATACATGTGTATATTATGTTATACTTATTTATTTAATAGTTAAAATAAAATTATAGAGGATTAGAAAAAAACAAAAAACCAATGGCAGTGCAGTTTGTAAAAGAACGATACTACATAGTAGTTTAATTACGACAATGAAATAACATTGATTTATATCTTGTTCTGTTGAAGTCTTGGCTACCAAAATTGATCAATTTCGTTCATTGAATTTTGTGTAAGATGTCTTGATCGCAAAGTTCCCTTTGCTCAAGATAACGAATGTTATTCCTAAGAATAAAGAACACTTCTGAAGAACTAATTTATTTGTTTTGTTTTCTTGAACTATTGTTCATTATTTTTATAGTTTGTTTTTTCAAGTATTTCTTGTATTTTGTTTTTATTAATGTTTGCCAGGTGATTATTTTCCTGTAATGTAAATTAAATATTTTTGTCAGTCACATTTAAGCAGTCTTTTGATATTTTTTCCTGGTAATTTGCAATAATTTTCTCTTATTAGTATTTTTTTCAATAATATTTTATATTACCAAAGCATTTTTTTTTAATGAAGTAAATCGTTTTAAGACTTCTTTGTTTATATTATTTTTCATTATGCTTGCTTTGTTAGCTTTGTTTTTTTTATAGTGGTTCATTTGTCCATTAGTCTTAAATAAGTTAATCAGAAATTGGTATTTGATTGAAAAATTTATTTGTACATTTTCAGGAAACTCTGGCCTCCACAGCAATATAAACCAAGAAAATGCATTAGTCACAAAATACAATTTACCAATCCTGTTAAACTGTAATTTTGTGACTAAACTATTTTCTTGGGTGAATAATATATTGCTGAGGAGGACAGAGTTTCCTTGGAACGTGCAAATAAATTTTACAATAAGTACTAATTTTTTATTAATTTATTTATTACCAATAGACAAATAAAAAAGAAAAACTTTTTTCCATTTTCCTTCTAAAAAATAAGTTGTCTAATATGATGTAGGATTTATCAAGAGATCACCTCTCTGACACCCTTCTTCAGAATCTTTCTCTAAAAGGTGAAGGACACTCCTTTCTATCTAAAATTATATAAAAATATTTCTCCATTGTTTTCATCAGTTAAATAAATCTATTTTAACGTGATAGTGAGAATTCCGTTTTAGGGGACTAGTCATATGCGCGATTTTTGGTCGTATGAGGTGAATTTGACCGAAGTAAATTCCGAACAAGGCGCGAAATGGACATGAGCCAAGGATTATAGCTAGCCAGGAATTGCTTTTAGACAAGACAGCTCTGAACTTGACTCGGGAATCGATCGAGTAGCTAACCCAGAGATACAAGGAGCAACCTCTAAATATGTTGGTTGCACTGCCGACACCAATCAGTCCGGTAGTTACCTCTTTGCATTATGGAAGTCCCAGTGCACTGCCTATGGCGCAAATGGGTTGATAAATTATTGGTTCTGTTTCAGGAGACTTCGCGTCTTATGGCTGCTTTGATCTGCTTAAATAAATTGTTTGGTCATTTAGATAGGATCATCATTTGTATATATATTCGTAGTTATATTCGACTCATCTGTGAATAAAAGCCGGGAATTATTTTACATAACCGACTCACTATTTAAAATAAGGGAAAAATGAGTATTTTTGTTTTTAACTAATAAGAATCCTGAAAAAAAAAATGTTTTCTCTCTCAACTTTTTTGTTATTTCTTGTCTTATTTTGTATAACAAAAAGTTTCAACCTGTCACGATGATCAATCTTAGTGGGAAAAAATAACATCAATTTTAATACTTTCTAAATCCCGAGGCTTCCAATTTACGGTTTAAATCCGTCGTGAAGCGTTTTTAATCCGGCACATCAATGGAAGGAAACATGGTCTTTGGAAAAAATTTCCATTAGGTTTTAACAACTGTTTATAATAAGTATATACATAATGAGAAAAGGTAATAGATCGCTTGGTGAAAAGAAAAAAAAAAAACATTGTTTCTGAACTTCTCTTGGAGTATACGAAGAAAAAGTATTGATGGTTTTCATGACGATGCATCGATAACGATGTTTTATTACCATCAGTAGGTTTTGTAATGGCCTGCGAGATTTCCGTGTGGCTCCCGTGCGAAAAATTTGGATACCGCTTTTCTAAATCTATCTTAATTTCTTGTTATAATTAGTCCTTTTTAGCAAACTGTCTCATTATTTACAACATTCAATTTTCAGAAATTCGGATGTCGGAGATCCTTCACGTTGGAAGCCGTTGGAATGGATAGATGTATCTAATCCCTCAAAGTTATTGAATTGGCTTGGGATGTCATAAACCTTGCCGTGGATTGATAGGAAGCCTCATACATTTTCGATGATGTTGAGGTCAAGAGAGATGGAAGGCCAAGCAATAGTCTCAATGGCGTTCTGTCAAAACCGTTTTTCCCAAATGGTGTTATGGATTGGTGATTTTTCATCTGATGGTAAACAAATTTGGCCACTGAGCCAGCAATCTGTTTTTGATATGACGTTTATTTTATATTTTTCTCAGTAAGGACTAAATTTTACTAGTCTTAAACTGCTTTTATTATAAACGTAAGGCACAATGAATACGTTTTTCTTTCTTTTGTCTTTTATTTATTTATCACAATTTTAATATTTGTTTCTTTTATGTTTCTGTTGGCATTACAGACCCTGTAGATTTTTTTTTAACTTTACCCGCCTTTTCATTGCATATTTTTCAAGTTTGCAGCTTTGTTCAATTGATCTTTCCACCTGGTCTTTGGCCTTCCACAAGATCTCTTGCCTACTACTCAGGTATTCCTCGTTGAATCGATGCTTTTTCATGAATTTTTCTGAGCTACTGTTTCCGCCCACCTTAAACAGGGGCAATGATTGACCATTTCCTGTAATCGGGCCTTTATTGGTCCTCCTCATGTATGCATGAATACTGTGATCCCAGATAGCACCGTTTATCGTCTGGAGGATTTCTCTCTCAAATCTTCCAATGCTTCTTTCAATGCTAGTTAGTGTACACGTATCGATATGGACTTTTTATCGATATGGACTAGTTATTTTTCGCGATTTCAATACTTTTGTTTTCTTTGTATATGTAATATTTTTATTCCATGTCTTTAAAGGTTTCGTTTCTATTGTTTTATGTGTGTTTTACTTCTAAAAAATGTAGATGGTTTTTATTGTCTAATCTTTGGCTATTGAGTCTTATTAAAAATTCGTTGCCTCTTTTGTTGACATTTATCGTCTATGTCATTTGATAGTTAATGGTAAGTTTATAGCGTATTTTCTAGTTAAATTTTTCTAATAGTGGTTTTATTACCGTTTTCGAAAAAAAAAAAAAAAAAAAAAAGGAAGTTATAATGAGTATGCGTATAAAAGGGCTCACATAACTGTGCATTATGTTATTTCTTAATATAGTAGATAATCATCAAATAGCTAGGGAGACTTTATCTGTATTTATATTTGGTAAATAATTTTAATAATATTAATAATTTTGGATTATATTTCTTCTGGATAAAAGGAAACATTTTGTTGTTTATTGACAAGTAAAAAATAGTTGTTATAACTTCACTCATTACAAATATTAAGTTTAAACTTATGTTTTTTACGGCAATGGCTTTACACTGTTTAAGAAGTTGTTGATATAGTTATTAATTTTTTATTGAATATAGAGAATTTTCATTAGAACTCAATGAATATAACGTATTTTATATTATATATATTATTATATTTATAATAAATATAAATATACATAATTTATAGTAATACAGTCATCCGAAATATATATAAATTTCCTACTATTTTGTTAATATTTTAAATAAAAGGTTAAACTAAATAACTTCTTAATTTTAAATTTAGTTTATTATTTTACTGAATATTTTTTATTTTCTAGAACGCTGTTAGTCATTTACATGTTCATTTATATAAGTGTTAGTAACTTGACTTTTAAAAAAATAAACTTCTTTTCAATAATTGAGTAGCTGCTCTGAGATAGAATTTAATAATTACTGCTAATGCCTGAAGGTAGTTGATAGGCCCTAGGTTGTCAGATATTGAGGCAGCCGTGGCTGTACAGTACTTAATCGATCCAGGTAATGGAGGCCGTGGATATATCCGTTGCTGGTAAGAACCGGAAAGAAGATGGCCTAAGGTACACAGGTGGCCTTATGAATAAATATTGATACCGTCGATATATGTTAATAATATTCACCCCCTCTCCATTTATCTATTTACATACTTTAACGGCCCTGTATGGTTTTTATTATAGGTTGGATTTAAATCCTTGTTTGGACTGTCTTTGCTTCTATTTTAGTACGTTTCGCATAAGAACTCAGAGGTGTTTTGAATATATTTTTATTTACTCTTCATGAGTATTAAATATCATTTTTAATTATTCAGGTTTTATATTTAGATCAGCTTTAGTATCCAGATTTTTTTTTAAGATTAGTATTAAATTTTGAATAAAATAAATCTGCTAATTTGAAGGAAACTGTGTTAAATGATGCAATAACTCTAATTCCTAAACCTCATAACTAATTAATTGATTATTTTTTTAGAATTGGTAGTTTTTGAGCGAAAAATGCGTTATAGTAGCGTAAGTTTTCAAAGAATTTTTTCGGTTGTTGAAACTACCAAGAGATAAATCCTTCAAACTTCAAGATTTACTCACAACTTTACTATTTAAAAAATAGTTAAAATTGGGAATTAGTGTTGATATTATTCCAAATCAACAATAATTTTCTATTCGATCTGATGTGATAATTTAATTTTGTATGCTTTATATAGGATATTCATTGAAGTAACTAGACGTGACTTGATTTAGGAAACTAGCAATGTTCCATCGCTTGTAATAGAATTATTCTTCAATGTTGTTGATTCTGATACGTTTTATGTATATTCATTTTCAGGCACGAAATCTGAAATATCCAATCCTCTCAGCCCACTTTCAATATTGGCCACTTTAATGTTAACAATGGACTATTAAATGAAGGGGGAAAAAATTCCATCTATATTCCATCGTGAAATCCTTTCCTTCTCTAATTTTCGGGGAGTGATTGGGATACAATGGATACAATTTCTGTTTTGATTGACTGCCTATATTGGTTTCTTTTGGAACACTTTTTCAGTGAGAAATATTTTTTTTTATATAGGATTTTTGATATAGGATTTCATTAAAATCCTCAACTCCAGATTAATTCATTCATGTTCATTTCTTGTGATTCTTTACTTTCCATTGCAATATTAGAGCGATTAAATATTGAAAATTGTCTAGCCATATCTGCCATAGGAGTAGTATATATTACAAAACAATCCAAGCCTTCTTTCAATCTTAACTTTTATTTTAAACTTGTGTTTTTTAGTAAAAAAAATTATGTTTTATGTTATCAAGCAAACACAACTTAAATTGTTTTATCGGCAGACTATTAAATTAAAGTACATACAATATTTTAATGTTTATTTTTTATTTAATATGTCCTTCCTTATTTCGAATATGAAAAAAAAAAAAGGTTTGTTTTCTTGTCGTAAAATTGAGTTTAAATCAACATAAAAAATTATGTTACAATAATCTATTATAAATAATTACTATTAGAAATTTTATAAGTATAAGATTATGTACAGAATAGTGAATTTAGAATTTAAACAACAGGGAAAAAACATTAATTATCAGCAAAATGTCATGGCGCACTCCATGCGATATTACAAATAAATGCGCGCCCACTTGGAAGGTTAATTACATAGCATTGTTTACCGTGTGGGTAGTTGTCTACGTCATCCCGCATGATTCATTTTTAAATTGTTGCCATTGGTATTCAATGGAAAGATCCAAAAATATGTATAACATTATAAGGAATATTATTTTTTACTTCTGTAGAACGTATATTGAATTTTGTTTTTATCGTTGCGGCTCCTGTCCATATTTGCAGAGGAGGGCCTGAGGTAGCCGAAGCACTCTCCGGTTCTATCTCGGAAATGGAGCAGTGTCGGGTCTCTATTGACATATTTTGTATGTCCTGTCCTGTATAAAATATGGAACTTTTTTTTTTGCCCTAGAGGTTTACATCAGTGGAATTTGTGTTCTTTCAAAATGGCAGGTACGCGTATGATTTATGAATTTGTGGTTGAGCATTCTATCCCAAAAGTCTCTTTTGGAACTTCGCTTGCATTCTTAAGTTTTGTCCTATGCAACGAAAAATATTTACTGAATATAATTTTATTGAAGGAAAATAATATAATCTAGGACATTGATTATTATAGCTCTATGTTTACATTTATATATTCTATATACAGATTAAAATATAAACAACAAAAAAATAATAAATAAGAAGAAAACATGTAAGTACAAATATATACATTCAAAAAAGAAAAGAACGTACATTGAAAGAATAGTAAAGAAAAACAAAATACACTCTGAACCGTGCCTTGCCGCTCTCATGTGAAATGGAAGTCAGGGCTCAAAGAGATCCCAGCGCTTCTCTCCCAGCCGCATCATTTTTTTTTATTATTTTTTTTTTTTATTTTTTTTTTTATTGATCAATATTACAATCTGTCTCAATAAAGGACATTTATAATAGAGTTCTGAGAGCACATTCACACCATATTTACAAATTAAAAATAAATAAATAAATAAAAAAAAAAAGCTAACCTCAAATAATATAAAGCTACAAAAGAACAAAATAAAATATCATAGTGAGAAAAAAAAAAAAAAAAAGTAATGAAAATAAACATCTTTGACGCAGGCATACCTATTTACATTATTTACAGTCGGCCATTGGAACTCCGAACCATACTTATCCCCCCACACGTGGAGGAAAGCAAGGCTTCAGGAGATCCGTGCGCTTCTTCCTCAACCATGAGCCGCATCATTGATTAAAATTCAAAGACTGAGTGATAGCGCTAAAGCCACATGCTCTGAGGACTTAAGTGGTGAAGCTGGCCACTGCCAGAACTCCAATAGAATATTTATAAAATATCTCGGGGTCATTGACGGTTTAACCTTCATGGGAAATAATATTGATACCTGGAGCTGGAAAGGGATTGTGTTACAGAATCGGATGATGGATAAGTTTTTTATGGAAGTTTGAGAATTTGGATGGAACTACGTAGGGGATTTTGAGATCATGATGTAAGGTTTTGTTTGTGATCTAGTGCGGAGCGTTAACTATTGTTAGAAGGACTTTATGTTGAAATGGTACGAAAAATATCAATTATTTTGTATAGTTGGTCTTTCATTGTATTCTATTTCTCCTCCGCCTCATCCTGCTGCTCACAATGAACAATCCGTTTTCAAAGTCTTTGTTTGTACGTTTTGTAGACTCCATTGTCATGTTAACAATCGTAAAGACTTATATTGATCTTTCATTTTGGTTTTTAGTCAATTTAAATAAACGGCTTAAAACACGATTTGTTTTTTATTAATTATTATCCGTTGGTTCTCCTTAATTTAGAGAAAAATAGATTAATAATATAAATCAATTTTAGACTGATATTTCTTAATTGTGGAAATTAAAAGTATAAATAATTGTATTTGGAATAACAAAAAAAGTAGTTTTGCAATGACCCATGAAACAAATTCAACCTTTTTTAAGGATTTCAACTAATGTAAAATTTAATGCTAATGAAGTACTCTAATACATTTCAAAACGATACTATTATAGTATCAAGATTTATAAGAAATAAATGAATTATTTTCGTATGGAATAATAGTTTTAAATCAATTATTTGTTATAAGATACCTAACAAGGAATAATTTATTCTTGTGTTAAAATTTAACTTAATATTTTCAAATTCACCCGTACGAAAAAAATAATAATTATGAAATTATTTTATATGCAGTATTATATTGTTCGTTTTGCAATAATTATGTTAATTATCTTATTTATCACTCTTAAGTATTATAATTTTAATTCCCGCGATTCATTTCTAGGGCAGTATGCAATGTGTTATAACTAAAATAATACTAAAACCATAAAAGTTATGTCTTCGCCCCGAGGAATTTTAACGCGATCTTTGCTATCAGCACTTTTAAGGGAAGATTTCTCCCATAAACATTTTATTATATGTTTTTACATTTTATTTTTTTTCACGTAATTTATTATTTTTATCTAGAGAAATAGGGAAGCCTATTTTCTGATGATATTGAAAAGGCGCCGGAATATGTGCCATTAATATATTTCGATGTGGATTAGCCTTCGATTAATATAAACGATACATCGATAGGCGATGGGGAGGTGTGAAGCGGGGTCGGAGGCTGAAGCGAGAGATAGCAGCTCATTGTCGGCCTATCGACCGCCCAGATAATCCCCGGCCCGCCGCTGACGGAGTACCCTCACAACAGGTGCTACTGCTCTGCTCTACCTTCTCCGGCTACTCATTTATTGTGTCGTCATTAAATTCGATTCGTACGTTTACGTTTATTCTATTTCAATGACTATAAATCGACATCACATGAAAATGGAGGGGCACACGTCGGAATGAATCATAAAATCCATGTATATATGCAGATGATATAACTTTTCTTGGAAGCGATCAAGAGGACATTGAGAGACACGCTAAGACATTGAGCAAGTAAGCCTACAAGTGGAGTTATAACAAAGTATATATGCCAAAAATACCACCTCAGCAACAGAATCTGCGTTGTTGGGGAATCTCTCCCGCAAGTAGGCTGATTCAAATACCTCGACTCCTCAATATCCTGGATGAATTACCGACGGTCGGAAATAGACCAGTTTATAACAACTGCAAACAGAGCTTCTCTCTTTCAAATGCATTGGAATCCTGAAAATATAAAACAAAGGGTGTACAATAACATGATAAAACAAGTTCGATATTCGACTGTCTAGACCTTGACCATAACCACTGCACCCTATAAAGATGCACTAAATGATTTGGAGGGGAAAATATTTCGAACGATAACCGGAGCTATCTGGGTTCCGAGTTCTGTCGCATTGAGGAGCAAGACCAATAAAGAACTTCTTGCAGAAACTGGTAAATCAATATCTCATGATTAAGATAGAGGATGTTTAGCTATTTATAGTTAAACATCTCCAAGGTCTGTTGAGACAAAAAAAAAAAAAAAAAAAAAAAAAAAAAGTGCTTATAAATTAAACTCATTATCATGAATTGAGGAGCTCTATTAGGAAGTAAAGAAACGTAATTACTATTATTATCTGTTGTACCAGTTTCAAAAACGTATCGTCGGTTTATTTCAAAAAGTCATTTCAAAATACATTTTTGATATAGGTCAACTTTCAAATACGTTTTTTTGTAAATTTCGAATTTATAGATCAAGTATAGTTACAATCAGGGTACAACAATTTTTCGTTTTCAGAAAGAAAAATTTCTTCGAAGGTTTTTCGATATAGTAATAAAAAGTGTATAAAAGAATTGTCAATGATTCTATCGGTTAGAGACAAATTCAGTAATGAAATAAATTTATCATAGAATTAATAAGTCATTCGTTTATGCTAATAAAAATTATTTACAATTATTTTTAAAACTTCTACACTAATGCTAAAATTATTTTTGTTAAACTTGTTTTTGAAATAATTTAAAAATCTTAAAATATATCTATGATACATCAAAAGGAAACGTAATACATCAATATAGGCCAATCTATGAAACAATAGGAGTTATTGGAAAATAAAATTTAGAAGAATAATCAAAATAGAAGCGAAGTTATATGATTACAAATAGTTTGTTGAGTAAATTTTTTAGTGTTTACTATTTTTACATTTTACTAAAACGTTTACATTAATAATAATAATAATAATTATTATTTTTTTTATAAACCTTCGCAGATTTTCTTTTAAAATAAACCAGATCAGTTTTAAAATAGACCTAATAATAACAAAAATAAGATTTTAAGCCAAATTTATTGCTGAAATAAAAATAAAAATATATTGTTCGATCAGAAAATTAAGCTTTATTAATCAATCACATAATACAATGTTTTGTCCCTAAATAAAAATTTATATATTTTTAATTTTGCTATTGTTACTTTCTTTTATTGTCATTCTTACCCTCTGGATTATGGATTAAACCTTGAATTTTGATACAATAATTTTTCTGGCTTTGCTTTTTACAATTTGGAAAACTATTATTTACTATTTTTCTGTAAAGTAGGATTCTCGTTCTATAATATAACGTTATTCAGACTCTTTCTAAATTTTCTTCAGTAGGTAAAGCGTTAACGAAACGAGCACTGAGCTCTCGAAGAGGTCACCAGGCCAGTTCGATTTCCGCTTGGGTCACTCGAAATTTATTTCCTGACCATACCACATAATAAATCTTCAATGACTCGCTCCTATATAGCAAGCAGTGCAAACAAATTTATTTCAGTTCGTTTGTCAGTTTGCCTAAATGACAGGGTTGAGGCAAGTGAAAAAAAATGTTTATATTACCTTTTTAGATAACAAGTAACAATTATTAAAATGGCCAGTACAATTACTATTTCCATTTCGACTTTTATTTTAAATTACAGTTGGTATATAAAAATAGTTGGAATTGTTACCTGAAAGGAAGTTTTTTTTACGATAGTTATTTTCTTTTCTATTCAAATAGATTTGTTATTTTTTTTTTTTTAGAAATATAATAATCTGTCTCGTGGACAATAATTATAGTGAGATATGAATTCATCCACACCATATATACAGAAAACATAAAATTAACAAAAGTAAAATAATAACTAAACAATAAATAAACAGCTATGTACAATAAAAAATAAAACAACCTAAAGATAAATAAATTAAAAACATAAAAGCTCAGTCATACCTATATACATTCAAGTAGGGACCTTTAGGCTTGTCCCTCCAAAAATAGAGGGAAAAGCAGGACTCCAAGAGATCCCTGCGCCACTCTTTCAACCGCGTCACTTGTGTTTAAGTCAATGGAGATTGAGAGAGAGCGCTTTAGCCACATACGCTCATGTCTTGAGTGGAGAATCTGACCATTGCCAGAACCCCAAGATATATGCTACAAAAGATCTCTGAGCCACTGCCGCTTCGACCTTCGAGGAGGATTGTAGGGAAGAGTGGGACTTGATACAGATTGTGCAAGCGGATTATGGTGATTTGTAAGGTTCTGATGGAATTTGGAAAAATTTTCAGGGATAAGGTCTCTTGGACAAATGAAATATGTCATGATGTAGGGTTTTGTAGGTTACATAGAAATGCTCCGTTCCAACTATTGTTAGGACGATTTTGGACCAAAAGGATTGGATTCGTTTGATGAAATTTAGCTATCCCCCAAAGTTCAAGTCTATAGGTCCAAATAGGTTTCAGGATTGTCTTGCAGATCAGTAATTTGTTGTCAATTGAAAGTTGAGATTTTCTATTCAATAGTCTGTATAATTGGCCGTATCGTCTGTCACGTATTAATTTTATTTTTGACTGTAAGAATTTAAAAATCTTCGAGCTTGTTACGATGAATATTAGTTCATTAGTTTGTATAATTAATTAAAAATTATTATAAAAATATCGGTAGAAACAACTTCAAATCTTTTTTTATCTTAATAATCAATTAGGTCACCCTCTCATACAAGCACCCACGCATACACACGCGGGCGTACGCTCGCATCATTAATTTTATTTATGGCATATTTAGGTACTTATTATATTTTTTACTATTTCATTAAAAATATTATTGGCTGACACCTGCTCTTCCTTCACGCTTAAAGCCGGGTAAGAATCAATTCCACCTAATACTTTCCTGTGGCTATAATATTCCTGAAATAAAAAAGAAATGAAAAAAGAAATAAGAAGAATAAATGATAAGTTTTTTTGGAAATAAACAAAAGCAGTAATCCTCTTTGTGATTGGGGCTGTAACAAAGACTCAGCTTGGCTATACTATCTCCGGCCGCCAGACTTCAGCCGATATTTCCCGGTTATTTTAAATATTTGTTATGGTCTCAAGTAGATCTCCCTGTTTATTTAAACACCTTGGGGTCCGCAGGCTTCCTTTTTTTTTCTGTTATTGATTTGACTGGAAAATCTAGAATTGTTGTTCATTCAAATACGATTGATCCTTGAATTTAGGTAAGATTAATTTTTAATATTATTCATTAATATTAGAATTATAGTGTATATATTTTTTTATGTATAACATGCTGTCAAAAAAACAAAAATTGGTACTGTGAGAAAAGTTTTGATCCCCACCCTATTTACAGTAATACAACTATTACTACTAATAATAATAATCAAAGGCTTAACGAACCCGAAGGTTCGATACCGACCCCACCAATCGCTATCTACACTCCTTCCTCCTCCCACTGTTCGCCATCCAAACCCAGCCCACCAAACCAGTATTAAAGCAATCTCCCAACCTTCGCTTCGGTCTACCTCTTTTACCAGCAGAGATGGGTAAATGGTACTCTGAGTACTGAGTACCATGTATTTTATTCAAATTGTATCACTATCGTGTATTCAATCACAACTTCAGTTAATAGTTTGACATCAGCTGAAGTAGTAATTAAATTCTTTGTTACTCAAAAAAAGGTCAGTATTTGAGACATACACCCGGTATTCAGTACTAGAGTAGCATTTACCCATATCTGTTTACCATTCGGCATATTAACTATTGATTGATTATTTACTAAGCCCAGCAATTCCACGCATTATTTACTAAGCCCATTTTATTCGTCGCAATTTAATCACCTCAATTTTATTTGTCGGTTACATTTCACGCTTTTGGCATTGTGTAGTCCTCTAAATTCTCCGCTTGACTCATCCTTCTACGGTCCGAATATTCTAGGGAATACTTTATTTTGAAAAACCAAAAGTTATTTCTCGTTCCTTAATGTACGTAGCTACGTTTCGAATACATAAAACAACAGTAGGTAGGTTGATGGACAGAAATTATAAATTAATAAAATAAAAGCACACTAAGGACCAAATAATAATATTAATAGTTAACAATGTCGAAATCAGTTGACAGTTTACCTTTCCTACCCTAATTTAAATCGTTCAGAATTTTGTCGGCAAAAGTGAATGAAGCAAAATTATCAAATATCCTATTTACTATCGTGTTATATAGTATTAACTATTAATAAGCTTTACACTACTGGCATTGGTTACACATTTGTCTTGATGATTTGACATTTGATCTCACTTTACTCTCAGCTTTTGTTAGTCCCGGCAAGCTCCAATATCCACGGTCGTTTATAGCGTTACTCCAAAGTTACTCTTATATCAGCATTGGAGGCTTATCAATGAGTTACTAGAGGCTTAGAGATACAATATAATCGGATCTGTTGAAGTATTACTTGTATTTTGTCTAATAGTCAGAAATACAATTTTAAAATTTTAGAAAATGTTTTTGAAATTCCTTTTAAACTAATTTTTTGTCTTTCCTCTCTTTGCCCTATCATCCACTCTTTCTTATAATCTTCCTTGCAGATTAAAATCTTGGAGGAGGATTATATGAAAGGATGGAGCGAGATAGGGATTTATCGTAGAAAATGAGGAGGAAGGTTCTGATGAGTTTTGGGAAGTACCTAATAAATTCTTTAATTTTTTTTTATTTATGAATTGAGCTATTTATAACAAGAGATGAAGTAAAAAATATTTTAAATTTTGGGTGAATTGTCTTTAATTATACTGGAAATTTGTTTCAACTTTTTTTTGTTTTTTTTTTTTACTATAAGGACTGTAACCAACATGTGTACTTAGCAAAACCTTGGTATTGCTGTAAGTATGAAACGTCGTAGAGCTTTAAAGCAACAAAAGTATCGATCTGTCTTTCTATTTGTTTCAATGAAATAGTCTTTAAATATTTTTATTTTATATTAATTAATTATTTAGACCTCACTATTATAAATGTCCTTCAGACAGATTGTAATATTTTTCAATAAATAAGTTCAAAAAAATTATTTAGAAAACGAAAAATGAATTTTTTTTTTCGGAAATTTTTATTTCAAAGATTTTTGTCATACATTTTTTGTGTGCACATTCGGAACAAGTTGAGTAATTACTAAAGTACTAACATGTCTTTCTAACATTTAAATTAGCCAA